ATAACAACTAGAAGACAGAGATTGGCAGAATGCATTAAAAATGATGTCCCAACTATATGCTAACTATAGAAAACTCACTTCAAACAATAAAGGCAGATTGAAAGACAAAGAATAAAAGAGTTATATTTATGAAAACATTAATTAAAGGAAACCAGGAGTAGCTATAGTAATATCAGATAAAGCACACTTCAGAGCAAAGAAAAGTACCAGAGATAGAGAGGGCCATTATATAATAACAGCATCAATTCACCAAGAACCTATAATCTTGTATTTTTTTTTTTTTGAGACAGGGTCTTACTCTGTTGCCCAGGCTGGAGTGCAACGGCAGGATGATAGCTCACTGCAACCTCGAACTCCTGGGCTCAAGTGATCCTCCCACCTTAGTCTCCCAGGTAGCTAGGACTATAGGTATGCACCACCACATCTCGCTAATTAAATAAATTATTTTTGCAGAGATGGAGGTTTTGCTATGTTGCCCAGGTTGGTCTTGAGCTTCTGGCTTCAAGCAATCCTTCTGCTTTAGCCTCATATACTGCTGAGATTACAGGCATGAGCTACCATGCCTGGCCAACAACATATATTCTTAAATGTTTATGCACCAAACAACAAAATTACAAAATATATGCAGCAAAACTGATAGAACTGAAAAGATAAATAAATAAATCCACAATTATAGTTGGAGACTTCAGTGCCCTTCTCTCAAAAATTGATGAAAAAACTAGACAGAAAATCAGCAAGAACTCCACAACACTATCAACCAACAGGATTAAATCACCATTTATGAAACTCCACTTAACAAAACCATCACACATTCTTGTCAAGTGCTCATGAAACATACATCAAGACAGACCATATTCTGGGCCATAAAACGAACCTTAACAAATTTAAAACAACTGAAATCATACAGAATGTGTTCTCATCACAGTGTAATCAAACTAGAGATCAGCAGCAGAACAATAATAGGAAAATCTCCAAAAAATTAAACAATAAGTAATAAACCTCTGAAGTCTCAAGGAAAATTTAAAAAAATACATTAAACTAAATGAAAGTAAAAATGCAACAGCAAAATTTGTAGGGCACAGCTAAAGCAATACTGAAGGACACTTATAGCACTAAATGCATACATCAGACAAGTGGAAGTTTCAAATCAATAATATAGAAGAGCTCCCACCCCAAATATCTAGCAAAAGAAATAAAACCAAAGCAAGTAGAAAAAAATAAAGTAATAAAGTATATAAATCAATGAAATTTAAGTCAGGAAAACAGAAGGAGAAAAATAACTGAAACAAAGCTCATTCTTTTAAAAGATAAATAGACAAATCTCCAGCAAGACTGAAAAAGAAAAAAGAGAAAGGACACAAATTACCAAAATCAAGAATCAAATGGGATAGCACTACAAATTCTATTATCTAAAGGATAATAAGGGAATACTACGAACAACTCAAGACACATAAATCTGACAATATGGATAAAATAGACCAATTCCTTGAAAAACATAAGCTACTACAATTTACCCAATATAAAATAAGACAACTGAATTTATAATTTAAAAACTCCTTCAAAAAGAAATCTCCAGGCCTCAGATGATTTTACTGGAAAATCTTATCAATCATTAAAGAATTAATAACAATTCTAGACACTCTGTATCAGAAAATAGAAGAAGGAAAACTCATTCATTTTATAAAGCTTACATTATTCTGAAACAAAAACCAAAAACAGTACCATAAAAGATTAACACAGACCAATATCCTTCAGGAATAGAGATGCAAAAATTCTTTAAAAAAAAATAGCAAATAGAATTCAACAATATATTAAAAAAATTATACACCATGACCAAGTATGGTTTAGGCTAGCAATGCAAGGCTGGTTCAATATTTGAAAATTGATCACTGTAAACTACCATATTAATAAGCTTAAGAAAAATCAGATGATCATATCCATTGGTACAAAACATGCTTACGACAAAATTCAACACTCATTTATAATAAAAACTCCTAGAAAACTAGAAGCATAGGAAAACACCCTAATTTTTGATTAAAAAACATCGACAAAAGAACTTACAGGTAACATTATGCTTAATAGTAAAAGACTGAATATCTTCCTTCTAACATCAGGAACAAGGCAAAGATATCTGCTCCCACCACTCTCATTCAACACAGAAGTTTTAGTCAGTATAATAAAGGGAAGAAAAGGGGAAAAAAGGTATACAGATTAGAAAGGAAGAAATAAAAATATCCCTATTTGCAGATGACATAATTATTGACACAGAAAATCCTAAGGAAACCAAAAAAATAAAAAACTAAAAAAAACGAAAATAAGTGAGTCCAGCCAGGCTCGGTGGCTCAGCCTGTAATCCCAGCACTTTGGGAGGCTGAAGTGAGTGGACTGCCTGAGCCCGCAGGTTCGAGACCCACCTGGGCAACTTGGCAAGACCTCATCTCTACAATAAATAAAAAAATCAGCTGGGCATGGTAGCGCACGCCTGCAATTCCGGCTATTCGGAAGGCTGAGGCAGAAGGATCGCTGGAGCCCAGCAGGTCGAGGCTGCGGTGGCCGGGAGCGGCCACTGCACTCTAGTCTGGGTGACAGAGTGAGACTCCAACTCAAAAAAAAAAAAAAAAAATAAGTGAGTCCAGCAAGGTTGTAGGATACAAGACAAGCATAAAAAATCAATTGTATTTCTGTATATTAGCAATGAACATGTAGACAGTGAAGTTAAAAATACAACATCATTTACAATCCTTCCAAGGAAAATGAAACACTGAGGTAAAGCTAATAAACGTGTACAAGACTTGTATGCTGAAAACTGCAAAATGCTGATGAAAGAAATCAAAGATAAAGAGAGATACACAGTAAGATTCAGTATAGTAAAAACTCAATATAATTAAGATGTCAAGTTTCTTCAAAGTGGTATAAAGGTCTAATGCATTTCCTATCAAAATCCCAGCAAGAGTTTTTATAGATAAGATTATTCTCAAATTTATTTGGAAAGGCAAAGGAATAAGAAAAGTGAAAATAATTTTGAAAAAGAAGAATAAGGTGGGAGGAATCAGTTTACCAATTTTAAGACTTATGGTATCGCTACAAGACTGTGTTCTCTTGGCAGAGGAACAGACAAATAGATCAGTGGAACAAAAGAGAGGCACACAAATCGAGAACCCAGAAACAGAGGCACACAGATATGCTGAATTAATTTTTTGATAAAGGTGCAAAAGCAATTACACAGAGTAAAGAAAATCTTTTTGTGTGTGTGTGTGTTTTTCACTCTGTTGCCCAGGCTGGAGTGTAGTGGCATGCTCATGGCCACCCCAGCGTTGACCTACTAGGCTCAGGCGATCCCTTCTGCCTCAGCCTTCCAATCCTTCCAAGGAAAATGAAGTACAGGTGTGTGCTACCACACCTGGCTAATTTTTTTGATGTATTGTAGAGATGAGGTCTTGCCAAGTTGCCCAGGCTGGTCTCGAAACCGCAGGCTCCGGCTATCCTCTTGCCTCGATCTTCCAAAGGGCTGGGATTATAGCCTTGAGCCACTGTGCCCAGCCAAGAAAGCCTTTTTAAACAAATGGATCTAGAACAACTGGACATCAATAGGCTTAAAAAAAAAAAATGAACATTGATTTGAATCTCTCTACTTACATGAAAATTAAGTTAAAATGGATCAGAGATGTAAATGTAAAACCATAAAATATTTAGGAAAATTCCAGGAGAAAATCTTCAGGATCTTAAGTGAGGCAAAGCTCTTAGATTTGACACCACAAGCATAATCTATAAAAGCAAAAGTTGATAAACTGGACTTCACAAAATTAAAAACTGTTGCTCTGTGACAGTCAACATGCCCAAGATAAAAAGACAAACTACAGTGTGAAAGAAAACATTTGCAAACATATCTCCAAAAGACTGTATCTGGAATAATAAATAATTCTAAAAGAGCAACAGTAAAACAAACAATGAAATTAGAATAGGGGTAAGGGACATAAACATTTCACTGAAGAAGATATACAGATGGCAATTAAGCACATAATATGTCAAACATCATTATGTATTAGGGAAGTGCAAATTAAAACTGCCATGAGGTATTACTACCCACCCACTTGAATGGCTCAAGTAAAAAACCAGTAACACCAAATGCTGGTGAGGTTTGGAATTCAGAGAAAAGTAGATAACTCACACATTACTAGTAGGAATGTAAAATGGTACAGTCATTCTAGAAAACAGTTTGTAGTTTCTTAAAAAACGAAACTACCATATGACCCAACAATAACGCTCCTGAGTATCCCAGACAAATGAAAATGTTTATTCACACAAAAACATATATGCAAATGATTATAGAAGCCTTATTCTTAATAGTCAAACACTGGAAACAACCTAGATGTTCTTCAAGGGATGAAAGATTAAATAAGCTGTGGTTCACCCATACCACAGAACACTACTTAGCAATAAAAAGGCATGAACTAATACAGACAACAACCTGCATGAATCCCCAGGAAAGTATGCTGAGTGAAAAAAAGGTCTATCCCTAAAGGTTACATACTGTATGGTTCCATTATTAAAATGAAGAACAGATTGGTAGTTGCCAGAAACTAAATAGCAGGTAAGACAGAAGGAATGGATGTGGCTATAAGACAGCATCATGATGAATCTTTGTGGTCATGGAAATGTCCTGTATCTTGACTCTATCAAAGTCATTATCCTGGTTGTGATATTGTATTATAATTTTAACATGACATATGGGAGAAACTGGATAAAGGGTGCATGTCATCTCTCTGTATTGTATTTTAAAACTGCATCTGAAATCTATAGTTATCTCAAAATAAAAAGTTTAATTAAGGTAAGAATGCACTATAGTCTATATGTTTAAAAATTTCCCAAAAACAAATACTGAGGAAAATGCAATGCACCTGCAGTAATGCAATCAAGTTTCCCATGACCACTATTAGGATGGGATTTCTCTTTTGATTTGAAAGACAGTGTAGATTACTAATACTGCACATTTGACTCACCGTTTGTTTCTGGGGGCCATCTAATTTGTCCTCAGCATTGTCTTCTTTATCTGTGTTGCCTCTAAATAAAAGGAAAAAAAAGGCATCACATACTACCCAGGAGTTTCTCCCTAGTAGATTCCCCTTAGCATGGCCCAAATGAGAGAGAGAGAGATAGACAGACAGATACCACAGTCACATAACTTTTATTATAGTATAGTGTTATATTTTACTGTTATTGTTGTTAATCTCTTAGTGTGTCTTATTTATAAATTAAACTTTACCATAGGTATAGTGTTCTATCTTACTGTTATTGTTGTTAATCTCTTAGTGTGTCTTATTTATAAATTATCTTTACCATAGGTATGCATGTTTAGGAAGAAATAGTCTATAGAGGGTTTGGTACTATCTGAGGTTTCAGGTATCCACTGAAGGTCCTGGAGCGTATCCCCGGTAGATAAAGGGGAACTACCAAATCGACCCTCTGTATCCATGTGGGGATATCAAGATTGGTCTCAAGTCCTTCAGTTGGGCCTCTCTATCTGAGGGTTCTGCATCCATGGATATGGAGAGCCCACGGTAGATCCCTTCCTCCACAGGCACTCCAAGTCTTAGTTTTTCCCTTTCTTTCGGGATAACTCAAGAGATATTGATAATGACAGAAACTAGCACCAAACAGTGCCATCACTTCTCTGGCAAGGACCTCTACTCAACTGAGCCTGAAGGCTCCAGCTCCATGTCTACTCAGGCAAGTTCAGAGGACAGCTATTGAACAATGCTACTGGCAGAAAAAAGGTAATTCCTGCCTATCAAGAGTCATATGATCATGTGGCTCTGACAAGAGAACAGATTCAAGAGACAGAAGGCCCCGCAAGCCCCTTGAGGCCAGATGCTGCGACCCTTAGATCCCAGTAGGATGACTCTTCCCACAGATTCACCTACATGTGGTAAAAGTCATTTCCTTGGAAGGGAGCTCTGTTGCTAACTGCTGAGAAGGGCATTTGCCTTGTTACCACCAGACTCTTGCAGCTAGGTCAGCTGCCTGAAGTCTTCTCTCTAGTGAGCTTAACTATTGCTGATGCTTATCTGTTTTTCATGTTTCCTTTTAAAATTGACTTTGAAATATTCCTGTCCCAAATACTCTTGTCTTTGCTTCCTATGTGCTGAAGGCAGAAGAACCTCCTACATTTATTGCTTAACCACAGAAAGACCAGCCACCCCTCAAATTATAAGCTTTATGCCACATTCGGGTACCTCACCAGGGAGTGTTTTCTTTGAACCAATGAATCTAATGTTAGGATTACCAGTCATTTGGGCTGCTGTAAATACCTCCCAGAATGCATCTTTAATATCTATCCACAGGAAACACATTTGGGGCAGCTAAAGTATTATATCAGGGATTAAAGGCAAAGGGAAGATGCACTTCATACTTTTCTTGGCTTGAGCAGATGGCTAGGGGTTCCTGGCAGTACCATGCCCTCAGGCCTGACCACAGCCTGGGGCAATACAGAGAAAGTATCTGCTACTTTGGGGGGAAGGGCAAACCAAAAGCTTACCAAACATAAGCTAAAAAATAAATGCCATGTGTTTTATATATTTATATATATATATGGAACTATACTTCTCAGCTGTTAATTTGGCTTACCCATGAATTTACACATTTTGGGGTTATGCCAACAGTATATTAAACTCAGCCAAAGGGGATCCTTCCATACTTTTTTGCACACAACCATGGACAGGCTGAAATGCCATGGCTGTCAAGCAGTGACTACTAGAATTTCATTTGAGGAACTTCAAGATCAGGAAGCCTGTACTTTTCTTTTTAGCTTTCTGCCAGATATAAGGAGTCTGAATTCTTCTTAAAGAATACTCTGACCATAGAACAAGCCTGGTTAAGAAGATGGGCAGGATAGTGAGCAGTCTGGGGAACTCATGAAGGACAGGAGCTGGTATTTGGATCACAGTACGTGGAAGTTAAAGAACAGGTCTGAAACATAGTAGGGTATAACCAAAGTAGCAGTTATGGAAGGCAGCAGTAGTATTGCAAGGTTTAAGGGAGAAGTCAGACACTGAAGAAAAGACAGGAAGAATGTTGGATGTATGTGGAAGGAGTCACAGATCAGGGTCATAACATGTCACATCAGGGTCGGCCTACATGACTTCTCACCTTTCGGGAATGTCTGAGGTCCCATCTGTAACACCCTGTTCTGCAGAAAGTGACTTCTCATCTGGCATCCCAACTTTCTCCAGAAAGCAAAGTGCTGGGTCTGCTCGCATAGCATTGTACCTCTCATAACCTGATCAAGAGTAATGAGAAATGTCAGAAGTCACGACATCTGCCTTGGGCTCTAGAGAGTCATTTTGTTTCCCTCACTAAGTAAAAAAATAAAACAAACACAAACAAAAAAATACTTACTTAAGATTAATCAGACCCTATAAGATTTCCTATCAAGGAAAAATCCTGGAGCTAAAACAGACCCCTTTGAGTATTGTTCGACCAAAAAGTGAAAGCTTATATAAATTCTGGGTCCATGAAAAGACACAGGGTATAGATATATTTCTCACCTGTTTGCCACTTTCTGACAGCACATGGAATCAGACAAGTTGATTTTTCAACTTCTTCCCCCTACTACCAACTCTGGACACCCGAATGGACTTTGTTTCTTATAGTCCAATCTTATCCCATGTGTTAGAAAAAGAAGCTGAATAAAATGACAGATGCCGGTTCTGGAATATAAAGAGGACTACTATGATTGCGTATTTAATTAAAAGGGATCTATTGCCTCTGTACCTACAAACTAAGTATAAATCCTAATCCAGGCCAGGTGCATTGGCTTACACCTATAATCTTAGCACTTTGGGTGGCTAAGACAGGAGGATAACTGAGGTCAGGAGTTTGAGTCCAGCCTGGGCAACACTGGGAGGCTGAGGCAGGAGGATAACTTGAGGCCAGGAGTTTTGAGACCAGCCTGGGCAACAAAGTGAGATCCCATTTGTACAAAAAATTTAAAAATTAGCTGGGTGTGGTGGTGTGTGCCTGTAATCCCAGCTACTTAGAAGGTCAATGCAAGAGGACTGCTTGACCAGGAGTTCGAGGCTGCAATGAACTATAATTGCACCACTATACTCCAGCTTGGGTGACAGAACAAGACCTTGTCTCAAACAAACAAATAAATAAAATAACCCACCCTGGCAACAAGACCCTGCCTCAAATAAACAAACAAACAAATAAATAAAATAACCTACCCTGGCCAGGACTTTGGAACTGTTCCTTGCTACACACCAAAGGCAGTAACAGATGGAGCACTTTGACACAGAAGGCGTCTCAAAAGGGTGGCAAAACAACAACGAAACCACTTGTAGTTTGATAAAGTCCATGTGTGAGAATTTGTTATTTTATTAAACCTAAGGTACTCTTATAAGGAGACAGGACTTAGCCATGTAAATGACAGAGAGAGACCCTCATGCAGGTATGAAAGGGCTGAATGTAAACCAGAACCTGCCAGGCTGTAAAGAACAAACTTGACTTTATGTTGTTGGATATTTCATTTCTATCTCGGTTTTGTTCTCCTGTCATTGGTGATACAGTTGTATTCTTCACACTGTAGGCAGTGCCTGGTACTTTTTCTCTGAGGAGCTGCTGGGACTTGATTATTTTTAATCCACAGTGACTTTCTCCTGCCATCTCCCTGACAGGTGCTGTCCACGTGAGCCACATGGCAGGGGAAACTACAGCATCTTATATTCTCCTTTATTCACTGACTCATTGAGGCAATTATTTGATTACTGTAGGTCTCCCTCATGAGACTGTGGACTTCCTAGGAACAAAACCTGCCTGGTTTTGCTCACTGTTATACATTCAGCATCTAGCAAAGGGCCTGACACTGTACATACTCAGCAAACAGTTGGCTGGATGAGTGTGTTTTGCTCAGATTCTTTCTCTTCCAATCATCACTGTAGGAAGACCCATTCTCACCCCCCCCATGTTCTTGCTTTAGTTTACATCAAAACAAATTTCCTCAATACTATTGTCTTAAGGAGAATCCTGCCATTGTCTCCACCTGTTCTTCCTTGTGAAAAGCAAGGTAATTTATCTGACAGATGAGACAGTCTCCCTTTACTATCAAAGGAGGCTAACTGTCCAGGAGTGTCCTGTCTTTACACTCTGTGCCTGACAGATAAGAAGCAGGGTGCCTGCATGCCAGGGCAAGTTTCTACTCTGGAGACTTTTTGTCATGTGTGGATCTGATGCCGAGGGATAGCTTTTGCATTTCTCTTTCTCAATTAGCCACGAAGCTAGAAGTGAGGAAGAGTGACGGATTCACTTGCCCTAGGAAAACCTAACTGTCCTGCAAAGAGACCACCAGAAACTGTAATAGCCACACAAAGATATAGACAGCAACACAAGAGACCTTTGAAGGGGTGTCAGCTGCCTGCCATTTTACACTTAGCCTATAAGCTCTTCTCTAAGAATGTGAACAGAAACACCAGAAACCATATCACAAGGAAAATTCTGTAAACACAGGCAGCCTGGGAGGAGCAGCAGTCACTCAATGCAGTTGAGAGCTGTCAAGAGTGTCTTGTGGAATAGGTTTGCCACAGGGCCCTTCTTGCTGCAGGCTAAAGCTACAACCAAAGACTCAGCCAATGCTAATGGGGTCAGCTTGAAGATGAAACCATGGCTATATTCTTCACACTTAACAGGGCTCCAGCAGGTTGTGTCTAGGGTGGACTAAAAGAGCCATGAAAACTCAGTGTATAGCTGTGTGCTTCTCAACAAAGAATGGTTTCTTAGCAAAGATAATGGTTGCAACACCGTAGCTCATGCTTAACCAAGGTGGAGGTAAGACAGAGAGGGCTTCCTGATACAAGATCTCTGATGAGTGAACATCAGATAGACAGGCTTTCAGAAAATGGTGAATACCACTTCTCTACCAGCTGCTGAGTATCTGGGAAATTGACTGTCATCTGGTAACACATGCTGCATGGGCTTGGCTATATTGTGGTGTGGGGCAAGGTTATACGGGGGTAGTCAGATGTTGCTACCCAGATGAGAACAGGTCTAGGCTTGTGCTCAAGGAATGTCTAATGGGCAGCACTCCGCCAGGGGCAGGACGTGATCTGGATCTGGACTCTGGAATGCCAAGGAGGAGGGACCCGTGATGCATCTGTTCAACTTAGTCAAAGTTGACTCCAATGTAACCATCCAACTGAACTGATCTGGCTCTGTTCAGAGTCTGCATGTATAGCCTAGGATCAGTTCCCCAGCACTGAGCACAGAGCCTGATTTTTTCCTATCTTTACAGCATGTCTACTAAACTCATCCTATATCACAATAAGGTGCTTTGGGCATTGTACAAATCACCTTCCTGGCATCTGCCCCTCAGCCCTAACTATAAATTCCAAGTTCACCTCAAATGGCACTCTGTGAGACTCTGAATGGAATGAGGGATGCATCATTTTAAGTTCTCACAGGTATGTTCAGGAAATATAAAGTAACTTATAACCTCAAAAGCTCCTTAAAAAGCAGAAGAGTTTTAGATTTGACAGTGTCAAGGTTGAACTTCTACTATTTTATTAAACTAGTAGGTAAAGTACCAATGTTAGTGTGCCTTTTCTAAGAGAAAAAGGGTTTGGGCCTCCTTAGGTTCCTGTCCTCTTTCACATATTCTGAGGCTACATCGTTTGCCTGAGGACTGTTAGTTGTATCTTCTTGATGAGTTGCACCTATCATCATTGTGTAATGAGTCTCTCACTCCCAAATTGTCCTTTTTGCCTTACAGATTTTTTGTGTTGCTGCTGTTAGTATTTGTTGGATATATCCTATTCAACCTCTTGGATGTCTACTCATTTTCTCTTCCATGCCTCATCTTCTCTTTCATGTCTTCAGCTATGCTTCCCTGGAGAGAGCTTTCCAGTGAGCTTTATGTTGCTCCTCAGCCCTAGAGGGGTAACCCTTCCAAGGCCATGCTTCCCACTGCTGTATGGTTATTAGAAACCCAGTCCCTCAGTTCTATTGTCATATTAGTCCACAGCCTTCAGCTCTGGTTTTTTATTGTTGTTACTTTTTTTAGAGATGAGATGTCACTCTGTCACCCAAGCTGGAGTGCAGTATGCAGTGGCGTGATCATAGCTCACTGCAACCTCAAGCTCCTGGCCTCAAGCGATCCTCCTACTTCAGCTATTTGAGTAGCTGGGATTACAGGCACAAGCCATCGTGGCTGGCTTAGCTCTGGCTTTAAGTTACCTTCGCATTTGGGGATTTTCCCGTATTTCTTCCAAGTCTTAATTCACCTTGGCTTTCTGTATGCCTGTGGCATGTGTGTTAGGGTGGAGGAGGAAGGAAAGAAAGCACATAAACTCTGTCTGCAATACTGCTAGGACTTCAGGTGTGTCCTCTTTTTACTTCACATTGTCCCCAAGAAGAGATTTGGCAATGTGCCCTAAAACTACCACTGAAACGAGACTCAGGGTCACTTAGACTTTCTCCTACAAACCAAGTTCAGATGCTCTGGAATCTGGCCGCCTCCAGCAGGCTGCCTTCTTCTGGGTTCTTTCCAAAATTAGGCTAGACCAACTCTGGGTTGTACTGTAGTACTCTGTGATTAACAGGGCGATCACATGCTTCTTCCCACTTCAGAGTTAAGTTCTGGCCTTGCACTGTACAACAGAGGAGCCACTAGCCACACATGGTTATTTATGTTTAAATTAATTAAAATCACATATAATCTGAAATACAGTTTCTCAATTACACCAGTCACACTTCCAGTGCTCAACAGTCACATGTAGCTAGTATCTTCCATATTGAACAGTGCAATATGAGGGCATTTCTCCCATTGCATACATAAACTACAGTTAGACTGGGCAACTGTACTTTAGCCTAATCCCAGTAGGTTGATAAAGGGTTCTCAGCAGCACTGCACCACCCAAAGCCGGCATCCTTAACACCAAAATCTAAGTTTTGAGGGGATTCCAAATTAAAATATGTATGGGCATGGTTGTTACTTAAATGTAGCTAGTTAGCCTGTACAATTTGAAGAATTCTCTTTACAGAGTTTGCGTAAGAAAATTAACAGCCTTCTAAAGGCAGAGTAATATGGGACAGTGGAACAGCACTGAGCACCTTTTACATACCAAGCACTGTTCTAAGTCTAGGTGGTCTTATTTAATCTTCAAACAAGTCCAGGTAGACTGTTTTAACACTAACTACTCCGCCACATTGTACAGTGAGAAAGTAGGTCAGAGAAGTTTAGGATTTGCCCAATGTCACACATTAAGTGGCAGAGTTAACAGCTAAAGCCAGATATACCTAGCTCTTTCTACTTTAAGCCCTGCTCCCCTGTTTAAAATTTCTGTTGACTCACCTGGCAAGGAAGGTGTGTATTAGGCATATTATGGGTGGCGGTCACTTGACACTTATCATAACTCATTTTAACAGCTGGCTGAAAGCAAGGGCAGGTGCTTTAAACAGTGTCAGAAACAAAGAAAGGGGGCACTTACTTCAGTTTTTCCAAGTCATTAAAAACCTCTTCCAGTCCCCTTTAGTCTCTTTGCTACTACACTAAAACAAAAAAAGACTGTTCATGCTATCTTCTATGCTCAGTTTCTTATACTAATGGGACAAAAGATAGACACTAGAAATATGTAGATGATCTAGAATGATCTTAGGATTCTGCACACACGTGAAATGCTAAAACCTCACATTTCCCATCATTTATTTATTTCTTTTATGCAAGAAACACCGGATGCCTACTGTGTACCAGAAACTAGGCCAGACACTGGGACAATAACAGTTAATGAGAGAGAAGCCATCCCCGATCTGACTGTAGATATGCAAGTGAGGAAGATACACACTGAACAAGTTCTTTGTGGCCATAGTCACCCTTTTGAAGTTCCTGAATAATATAACATTCATAGTATTGTCAAGAGTCATACATTTATCTGGTCAAAATTCCAAGAAGACAGACAAAGGTGAGGTTCTACTTTCTCAGAAGACTATACACAAGAACTATAGAGCTTTGCAGGAATATGCTGAGCTTAGTCAGAGTGCCTAAACTCATCTTTCCCAAGGGGAATGGATACAGAAGGGAAAGCATTTAGTAAAATACACACCATGCTTGAACACGCCAATGAGAAGGGACTTATCGGCCTCAGCATCCCACCAATCCACTGGGATCTCCATGTAGTCGATGTCAGGTAGAGGCACATCCAGCTCCCTGTGGAAAGAAAAAGCATAGGCTCAGAATTCCTTTAACATAGATGCAAAACAACCAAAAGTTACTGGCCCAACCCTGGCTACATTCCTAGTTGCATGCTAAGATGCTTAAGTAACAATAGGCAAAAGGATTCAGATGGCTATGAGTCAAAGTTTCTTAACCAGGGCTTTGCATCAAAATCACTTATGGAGTGATGTTAAGTATATGTACTTGATTTCCAGGCTCCACCTTAGACTGACACAGAGTCTTGGAGCACTGCTTGGTCAGTTGGTCTAGGGTGGGGCCTGGGGACCTCTATGAATAAGGTAGTTCTGATATTCATCTTCATTTGAGAACCACAGCAAAAGCCATTGATACACTGGTTATTTGAAGGTAGAACTTCCCCAGATGGTTGAATCCCTAAATGACTGAATGTGTAAAATAGTGCCTAATATCATCTTGGCTCAATATGCTGCCTCAACATGTAGAGTTCTCCAGTACTATTTGATAACAAGATAGTCTACACTGGTACAATTAGGGATATAAAGAAAGTCTTTCAGAGGGTAAAGTGCCACAATAGGTGACACCTCCTGGCAGTGGTCTGTTAACAGTCTGTTGAGTAAAAACTTATCACAAATTGCATTATTCCAGGCCAAAGCGATGAACATAACTCACCCTAGAGCACAGACATGCGGGGATTAGCAGGCCTATTCTATCAGTTCCTCTCTGAGTTTCTGTCCATGTTCTGAGAGCTCATGGGGACCCCTAGCTCACTGTGTTCATTCATCTGAACACATCCTTGCTCTTTGAAAGCTTTGGAATTTGGGGAATAACATGTATTTGGATGTCTCCTCCCTCCTCCTCCAGCTGCCTGGGATGGTTTCTCTGCAGCATTTCAAGTTTCTTCTTCCATCAGACTCTTTTTAAAAAAAAATGTGGAGTCTCACTCTGTTGCCCAGGCTGGAGTGCAGTGGCACGCTCATGGCCACCCCAGCATTGTCCTGCTGGGCTCCAGTGATCCTTCCGCCTCAGCCTTCCAAGTAGCCGGAGCTACAGGCACATGCTACCATGCCCCACTAATTTTTTATTTATTGTAGAGACAAGTTCTCACCAAGTTGCCCAGGCTGGTCTCAAACCCGCGGGCTCAGGCAATCCACTTGTCTCAGCCTCCCAAAATGCTGGGATTACAGGCTGAGCCACCGAGCCTGGCCCCATCAGACTCCTACTGTGACACAGGACTGACTGCCCATTGCCAGGTCCAATTCCTGTAGGAATAGTGTTCCCTGGCCCCCACCTTTCCAGGAACCTAGTGCTCTGACTGCATGGTGCCATGGTTGAACAACTTTTCTGGGATAAACTGTTTTTCATGCTTCATGGCAACTTCTCCACAAGAAGGCATTCAACCTGAATAGGACCAGCAAGATGGAGGAAAGCAGAGGAAAGGAAGGAGGGGGGTGGACAACAGATTTACTCTTGCCACGATCTATCTAGTGCCACTCACTACCTCCTACATGTCTAAGAAAGTATGTGATGGGAGTAAGTTCAGGTACTTCTGCCAAGTAATACCTGATATAAAGTATCAACTTGAACTTGGCTGCATTTAAACAACTCTAATTGAACCTTTCTACCAAAACACACAACCTCCCTATCCCTGCTGGAAACTACAACAGTGACACTGGAAGACATATCAAATAAAAATAGTCACTGAGAGAACTGGCCCTGATTACAAGTTGCCCCATGGGTAGGGCTGTCTATCTCCCATTCTCCTTTTGTGCTCCTATGACTGCTAAAGTCACTAGCATTGCCCAGTGCAAAGAAAGAAAAAGAAGAAACCATGGCCCCAGGTAATCTCAACACAGAGTCCAAATAGTAACATTTTTGTGTTTTTGAGGAATGACAAAGGCGTATAGGGCTAGTCAACTGCTGATCTGTGGTAGGTAAGGAGGATGTTGGATGATTCCAGCTACAAACTGTGACTTTCTGACAGTTTTATCAATGGCAACTGAGAGCTTGGTAAGTCTCATTCCCTGAAATCTTGGGAGTCTCCTACAGCTTTGGAAACACTAATTTATAAAACTAAGACACAACAAATCAAATAGGCCACAAGGTATTATGATTGGCAAATGAAGGAGAAATGTATTAAGAGTACTAAGGCTAAGAATGGGATTCTGGGTAAAACTTACAGTCTATAACTGTCAGATCAAGTCTATCAAAGTAACTGACCCTCTTTCAATGATTACTTAAGGTAGCTAAATTACTGTTTTAAAAGAAAATTTAAAATACTTTTGAGGGAAAGATGAACTAAAGACTCATCAAAAGTTATGTTCCTAGCCGGGCTTGGTGGCTTAGCCTGTAATCCCGCGCCTTTGGGAGGCTGAGGTGAGTGGATTGCCTGAGCCTGCAGGTTCAAGACCCACCTGGGCAGCGAGACTTCATCTCTATAATAAATCAAAAAACCAGCTGGGTGTGGTAGCACGTGCCTGTAATTCTGGCTACTTGGAAGGCTGAGGCGGAAGGATCGCTGGAGCCCAGTAGGTCGAGGCTGCAGTGGCTGGGAGTGGCCACTGCACTCCAGTCTGGGCGACAGAGTGAGACTCCAACTCAAAAAATAAAAAAAAAAGTTGTGTTCCTTAGAAACTATTTTCCCCTTTATTTTACTTGTAGAGGACCTGAACATACTTACTTGCCTGCTCTACCAACTGGATCTTGGGGTGAGGAAGCAGGGGCTTGGGCCTCTTGGAGCACAGCCAAGTATGGCCAGCTCTGTGATCAGGCACTTTTTGTTGAATCTTTAGCATTGACATGTTAAGGTTGATTTGTTTTACCTGGCAGGAGTTCCTTCAAATGCTTTATCAGCTGCTTCTCCCAGTATTTCAGCTTTTAGGTAGTACAGCATTCGGACTCTCAAAAGTACCCTATGACAAGTGAACACATCAATGCAAACAAATTAGAAACCACAACTGCATGTGAACTGCACCCCAGAGTTAACATAGGAAAATCCTGGGGATTCCCATGTAGTGTTATGCAGTAATATATGAGAAGACATCAGAAAAACCAAACATTACGTACCAATGACAAACATTATTATGACTGTTCCCACTTTACAAAATCCCATGAGCCATAGGGGGCATCAGAAACAGACAGCATTCTTCCTGATTTAAGAGCACTCACCCCTACCATATAGCCACAATGACCTCTAAGGCAGAGCTGGCATCCAAGAGGCCAGTTTACTAGTAAGTATGTTAAAAGTGGTATTTTCAGTTTCACTCATACATAGTAAAATGCAGGTGTGTCTACTTTTCATGGAAATATGTCTTTTCTCTTGAGGTGCTCAATTCATTTTGATTCTGTATGGAACACACTCAGGCTCCACGGGAATGCAGCAAATGTGTTTGAGACAAAGCAACTAAGCAAATACTTGTTAGGCAATTACTATGTGCGCTGCATCATGCTGGGTGCTGTAGGTATATAACAAAAGTAAACAATTCAACCCTGTTCTTGAGGAGCCTACAGCAGTCTGGTTGTGAAATGAGACCAAGCAAGAAAAGAGAGCACAGAAGGTAACAGTGGGGACCCAGACTCAATGTGTGCAAAAACAGGATGAAAGGGAGGGTAGGCACACAGAGCAGACCACTGTAGAGGAGATGCTCTGTATTCAAAGCTAAGCTGCAAAGAGGTTTCAACAAAGACTTAAAATGTGCTCACTATACTACAAATAAAGGTTCATTCATATAAACTTACATAGAAACCTATCTCCACATAAATTGCTAAAAAAGGGATTACAAACAGTATGTACAATATTTGTCATTTTAAGGAAGACAGAAAGAGGCTGTACATTCACATATGTGGGTACATGCACAGAGCATCTCTGAAAGAAACAGATTAACAGTGGTTAAACTGCCAGGGGAGAGGGTGGGATTAGCAGTTGAGGGAAACTGCCAGAGTGGGGAGGGCATACCTCATCAACAAGGGTAACTGCACAATGAACATTTGTATACCTAACCCTGAATTGTACCCCACATCTTTAAAATTAAAAAAACACAAACAAACCGTAGTTGCCTCTGGAGAGGGCAATAGGGAACTGGAAGTGGTAGGAAAACTTTTGACAGAATTTTTAAAACACATATGTACTATATATTCAAAAAAAGTTACTACTGAAAAATGTTAAGGTTTGAATATATCCCCAAAAGCTCATGTGTTGGAAATGTGATTGCCACTGTAACAGTATTAAGAGGTGATTAGGTCAAGAGGGCTCTTCTCTCATGAATGGATTAATGATATTATCACAGGAGAGAGCTTCTGATAAGGAATAAGCTTGGCCCCCATTTTTTCTCTGTCACATACTTGCTCGCCATGTAATGTCTTCTGCCATGAGATGACAGGTTGGTGCCTGCTCTTAGATGTTGCAGTCTCCAGAACTGTCAGCCAAATAGACTTATATTCTTTACAATTGCCCAGTCTGTAATATTCTGTTAAAGCATTAAGGCCTTTTAAAAAGCACAATTTCTATCTATTAGATGCAAGTAGAAAGTACTACTGTGGGCTCAAGTTATAGGTGGAAACACACAAAGTTAGAACTTACAGATTGGAAAGAACCCTCATGTCTCTGGCACACCATTTCTTACCTCAGTTGTCATTCAACTCAAATAATTGAGATTTTTTTTCTTTTAGCCCAGAGAATAAGAACTCTTTAAGAATTTACAACCATTGCTTTTCCTTACACAAGGGGGATTTTAACAAACCTGGAAATTTTATTTATAAAAAATTGCACGCACATCTATTTTTACATGTTTAAACTTCATTCACCTTCAAAGTTCTCCATTTGATGCAATACCTATTGAGATGCTTTTTCCACTGCTCAAAAGTTTTTGAACCCGTCATTTGTGATGTCTTTTAGTGTTTCTACCATTTTTTTGTTTCACTTCTTCCACACTGGCAAAATGTTTCCCTTTGAGGACAGTTTCATTGAGAGTAACAAAAAAATGTCACTTGGGGTGAGATAAGGAGAATAGGGAGGATAGAGCACAGGGATTATAGTGTTTTTGGTCTAAAACTGCTAAATACTCAGCACAGTGTGGGCAGGTACAGGTCATGGTGGAAGAACCAGTCACCTGCTTGCCACAACTTGGGACGTTTCTTCCACAAACTGTGACGCAACCTTCTCAAAACTTCTAGGTTAAAAACTTGGAAGAAATTCTGAGTGTTCTACAAGGTGTCTGCCTTCTAAAGATAATTCTGGTTTTTTTTTCTTGGTCCCCCCTTGAAGCAAGTTGGCAGTTGTTGACAGCCTCCTTAGCTAAAACAGAATGTCAGAGGACTGCTGAGATTTGGATCAATCAGAGTAGGGCTTTTCTGAAAATGCAAGACAGGGAGAATTATTCCCATTTCTCTGAAGAGAGGCAAATGTGATGATATTTGGCAATCTATGGAATGAGTAAAGAGAACTTAAAGTCAATAGTATTCACTTATCCTCCAAATGGGAAACAAATCAATTCAGAGGACACATGGACAATCCTCACAGACAGCCGCCTTCTCCCAGTTGGCAGCTGAACTGAAAGGGAAGCACAGCTGGAGTAGGTTTGTACACCCTAGGTTTAGCCAAACAAAACAACTTATTAATATTTTGGGTGGCGACATCTCTTTTTTCTTTTTCAAGACATTTTATTGAAGTGAAATATACTTCCAGAAAGTACATGCTGCATAAATATACAGCGTGATGAATTCCCACAAATTGAACACACATGTGTACCCAGCACCAGATCAGAAAGAAGAACGTTTCTCCCTAAGTGTCCCTGGTATTCTCTTCCAGTTACGACCCCACCCCAAAGGGTAACCACTATCCTGACTTTTTTTTAGCTTGGATTTGAAGCTGTGCTTTTAAACTTTTTAAGACAATACCATGACTCTAAATAATACACTATTAATGACACTTTGAGTGCTTACTACAGTCTCCAAAGAGATTGTACTTTGGTGTACAGTAGTTTTTATTACTATATTGGAAGTGAGATCTATCTTCAAATATTTGGAGGGATCAGGAGAAGGGATTATACTTTATCTATAAAAGAAAAACCCCACAATCCAACAACTACAGAATCATTAGGCTGATGTTACAGGGAGGCAGAAAAAAACAAGCCCAAACTCTTAATCTATAAGGTAAATCTTAATCTCTTGATAACCAAAGGTGTACAAACAGAGGCCCTCTCATCATATACCTAGAATCTTGGGGAAATAACTCTTGTAGACCTTAAGCTGGATCAGATGGCTTCCAAAGGTGAGATACACTACACAGAAATGCAAATATCCATGTGCAAACTTGGCATTGTTTTGTGGCTGTGTGCCTGCTTACTCATCAAGACTAAACTACACAAGAACAGAGTTTCATTTTCTTTCTTTCTTTCTTTTTTTGAGTCAGGGTCTCACTCTGTTGCCCAAGCTGGAAGGCAGTGGCAGGATCACAGCTCACTGCAACCTTGGCCTCCTGGGCTCAGGTGATCCTTCTGCTCTAGCCTCCTGAGTAGCTGAGATTACAGGTATATGCCACACCTAGCTAATTTTTTATTTATTTATAGAGATGAGGTCTCACTATGCTGTCAGGCTGGTCTCAAACTCCTGTACTCAAGCAATCTTCCCACCTCAGCCTCCTAAAGTGCTGGGATTACAGGTGTGCACCACTGCATCTGGCCCAGAATTTCATCTTCAATCACTGTTTTCTGGTGCCTTCCCACCCCTACCCTAGTTGTTAGCCTACAGTTATAAAAATACTATCTCAAATGCATGCCTATCAAATAACTAAAGCTATTAATAGCAACAGCATATTGGAGAGGAAAGCAACTTGGCATAGGCGGTCTGACACTAGTGGCTACTGTTCCGACTTCAGGGGTGGAGGGTGTCCTGACTGGCTTTTGAGAATCAGATTAGAAAAATCCTCAGGGGTATACAATGCATTGGCAGAGATGCCAGGTTCTATAGGAGAGAAGGGATATTGCTAAAGGAGTTAGAGGAGCTTTAATGTGAATGATTTCTGACCGTGTTTAGACCATAAATCATATATCCTGTCTTTCTAGACCTTGCATGGTAGGTAGTACAGAAGCATGAAAAGATCTCCCTGTAGGGATCCTAGGAGTCCAGAAGTCTGGGAAGAGCTGCTACCAGGGGATGGGAGGGGGCACACTCACTTGTTGCAGTGCTGTTTGAGGTGTTTCTTGTAGCCATCATCATGCAAGACCACCTCAGGGTTGCAGGTAGCCAGCCAGTCTGCATTCTTTAGCTCTGGGAGTAATAGCTGGTTCTTTGTCTTCTTCCCTTTTCTCCCTCTGGGGACCGGGGCAGACAAGCCTGAAACAGAAGACAGTGTTGAGCAAGAGGATGAGTCAATGGGACTTAGCATGGGTTTTAGAACAGAGCTGGGCTGGGGTTGTAAAGAGGCAGCCAGGCCATGCATGCTGAGTCCCGGATAACAGACCCCATGGCTCAGCCCACAGGTAGTGATGAGTGAAGCAATGTGCCTGGACCCCTACTTAGTAAACTCCAGGACCATTTAGTCATTCAGTAAGTATCCTGTTACCAGGTATCCTGTTAGGATTAAGAAAGGTGTAACATAAACTGTGCCCTTTGGGAACTTATAACCTAGCTGAGATAAAAGGAACCCTTGACCTGGAACCGGAAGGGTAGCTTTGACTAAGGCACAGGAAAGGAGAAGGACAGCACAAGAAAAGGTATGGACAGAATAGTGAAAAACAAAAGGTAAGTCACAGAGCACAAGGTCTGAGTCTACAATTCAGGAGAGGAACCCACTGAGACTCAGGTTAGTGTGCAGGACTAGCATGTGGGAAGCTTCAAAAGGGCCCAATTGTACTTAAACAAAACATCAAAGGTTAATACTGGAGGATTCTGAGATAGAACTGAAAGTATCAGCATTCATTCCCACAAGTAACATTCTGAAATACGTCTAATAAAGAGAAGAACCCCTAGAGCACAGCAACATAGCCCCACACAGGAAGAGTGAATGAAAGTGAGTGGGAGTCTGTGCTTCTGAAGCATGGCCTTGCCACTTCTCACCTGAGTGGTTCTGGAGGGTTTGGGCCTGCCCATCTTTGGTAGGTGTAATCAATTCCCAAATGAAACTCTTGATCTTCTCATCCCCCTTATAATGCTTGACACAGTACACCAGCAGGGCACGGCAAATCATCTCCATGTCCTTCTCGTTCAGATGCCACTTGAATCGCCCATGAGTCAGGATGTCCTTCCACCGGCCCCAGCTGATGTGGAAATACAGAAGGGCATTGGTGGGAGGAAGGGCCATGCACACACCCTCCCCACAACAGGACAAACAAGAGTCAAGCATGCTTCTTGTTATCTGTAAGGTCTAGTAATCACCCTGAGGACTTTATCCAGAAAGGTCTTTGAGGACTGCTTGACCTTCAAACACCAAATGCCACTAAGGTGACCTGGACATGGGACACTGAGAGCTTCATATGGCTGCTAGAATATTAAGAAGGGAGGGACCAAATACTCAGAGAAGGAAGTAAATTTAAATTTCAAAACAGAGTCCAGATGCAGTATTCAAAAGCAATGGCGAGTTCACAGAAGCTGAACCTTCTATTTCTACCAGAGCTGGAGTCCTGCATGAATCATGCCTTGACTATAACATCTGTTGCACTGACTCCTTGTATGTCCTTGGGGGGTGAAGGGAAGCAGGAAATCAGTACCAGGCAGCAAATTAATAACAGAGATTTGCTGTAACAAGTATATGAGAAAATCATGGCACGTCTACACTATGGCTACAGAGCATACAATGACTGAGGGGGATTCAGGGTAGAAGCATAGTTCTTTCTTGCTCTAACAGATACTTATCAGCCCCATAATTCCAGAGGTAATTGGAGAGACGTCCTGGACAAATCTCAGGGACTGATAAACAGGGAAAACAACAACAGCAAAGCCAAGCAGAGCCAATACACACCCAAAGATGAGCAGATTCTTCTCTACCCGGAAGCACTCGGCGCGGAGGTAGCGCCTGGCTTTGTCACTGAGGCGCCTGGATCGTGTGGGCCTTTCATCTGAGTCACTGTCTAACTCTGAAAACTCCATGAGTTCGTCCTCCTCAAATGAGTTGTAGTGTTTGGTCTGCTTTCTCACGCGAGGTCGGTCGATCACTAAGCTTTCCTAGAAATGGAGAGAACTGCTGGGGAGAAAGCCCTCTTCTCTCTACTCCCATCACAATACACAAACATATCCAGATGTAGTTCTCCAGGACACATTTGGGAGAGAACACGCCCCTGTCTCATCCTCCAGTAGGAAAGGCTCTTCCCTGCACACCTGCTGTCCCCATAATGATCAAACAAGCAGAGGGGATTCTCTGGAACTTGCTCAAGTTGGCGTGTTCCCTGACTCCTAGTGCTGTCGGCCACCAACTGCTGTGTCTGCAGTCATTCTACCAGGGGTACAGGAAGGCATGGCCCCCCTAGTGCCCAGAGTGGCAGTCTGTTCTTGCCAAGAAAGACTGGAGTGGTGAGCCCCAGGTGTTCTGTTCAGTATGCAGTGAGCAGTCTACACTCTGGAGACAGGACAAGCCAGAGAATTCCATCTGCTCAGCAACTTTCTGAAGACAAACACGTATTCCTGCTGCTTCATTATCTGCTTTCTACTGGTTCTATCTACTAACCTTTTGTCTTTTGACAAAAATACAATCCCCAGTTCAGTAACCTTCTCATTCTGATGGCTCACCTGGCCACACTGCATCTTCTCTGGTTTCCACGGCTTTCTGCTTCTCACTCCTTCCCCCATACCTTTTCCCAAAGCTAGGCTAAAATCCTGAACACTCCTCTACATAGCCCAAATCACAAACTTCCAGTGTCATCCCTGCTTTGATCACCATGATTCCCATCTTGGAAGGCTCCAACTGCTTCTGACTGCAAGAGCACTTTCTTCCCCCTCTTGTACCTACTGTCCTGCACACACAGTAACTTCTTAATTGTGACACTGTAAAACACTTAAAACAGGTTACTAAAGGGACAGCAGAATCTTTTTCTTAAAAGAGAAAAATCAACATTTCTATTTATAGGAGAAAAAAGGCTGGATTAAGCAACCTCTGGCGGTCTTACAGAGGAATAGTTCTGGCTGGGTACTGGTTACTGAATTAGCTGGCTACAAGCAGGGGTTATCTCCTGGGTTTGTAGGTCCATGAAAGTTCAACATTCACCTGAGAAGACACTCATCCTGAGGTGAGGTGATGGGGCCAGAGACGGAGGAAAGAAAACTAACATTTAAGGGGTGCTTCACAGTGGGTTGGGCACCAGTGCCAGTTATATTCACAAGTGTTACCCCACAACTCTGCAGTGTGGGCTTCACCACCTCCTTTTCTCGCTGTTCTCAGTAAGGTCAAGCACCTCACCTAAAAGTGTACTCTGGTTTCATTCCAAAGCCCATTTTCTTTGCCATGTTCAGGAATAGAAAAACTTGAGAAACTTAAAGAACACAGGTAAAGAAAAACCTTTCTTTGTCATGCTTTTTCCCTCTTCCTATTATTTATCAGAGGTGAAGTTTTTTCCAAAGAAAGTGTTAAAAGAGAAGTAAAAGAGTCACATGCCAGAAATGGAATGCTGGCTGGAGACAGAGGGCTAAACTTGACCTGTTTGGCCAATTCCAGTTCTAATTGCCTTAGTCTAATTTCCTTGGTGCCCAGGAGACTGAATATTCCATTAGATCACTTTAAAATTGTAACAGTTAACATTTACCAAGTGTTGTCTATGTGCAGACATGTTTTAAGTGCATAACAAATATTATCTCACTTAAGAACCAAGCCTCGGGAGAAAATAATGACTTGAACTGTCATTTATTGACATGTAAGACACTGGTAAAATATTCAATGGAATAAAATATTGTTACACTGTACCTTTTCATTCTTTGCTTCGGTGTCTAATTCAGCTATTTTAGCCCATTTCTGCCAAAAGTTAGGATCATCTAAGGAAATATCTGTCCTGTTTCCTGATGCCACAAAGCTAGCCTGTGAAGAAAAGGGTCAACAAACTCAAAGCACAAATTAAAAAATACCGGTGTAATTTCAAATATGACAGAAACTTAAGTATACTACCTATCCGTGTTCAAAACCAAAACCTTAACATTCCAAAATGAGTGTAAAAATGTAAAAGTTATTCTTTTTTTCTTTTATTTTAAAAATGGGTGGTTCACGCTTGTAATACCATCACTTCATGAGGCTATGGTGGGGGAACTGATAAAGCCTAGAAGTTCGAGACCAGCCTAGACAACATAGTGAGAACTTGTTGCTACAAAAAAATGAAAAACTTAGCCTGGCATGATGCCACATGCCTGTAGTCTCAGCTACTCAGGAGGATGAGGTGATAGGATAGCTTGAGCCCAGGAAGCTGAGGCTGCAGTGAGTCATGATCGTGCTTGGGCGACAGAGTGAGATCCTGACTCCAAATAGACAGACAAACAAACAAACAAATAAGGATTGGGTGAGGTAATTATAATTGCTACCTAATGGATCAGTTTTTGGAGCTTAAACTTGGAAACAGGTAGCAAACTGTGGAAGACAATGGCAATGTGCTACTTGGTGTTCCTATGTAAGGGTTAATTTTTAAACTTTTCTAGATCTAACTTTTCTTTCAGTTCAAGAGTTACCAAGTATCTGTTACAGAAAAGGCACTGGGCTGGGCAGTATGAGGCGTACAGACAAGTGATGGACCACCCATATACTTTCTAAAAAACACAGAACATCTTACTGAAAAAGTTCCATGAGTCACCAGATTTAATCAAATAGGTTACAAAGCTCATACAGAAGTTAGCAATGGCTAGGAAAACTTGAGAATGATCTGCTAAGTTCTAAATCCAGTGACCTGAAGAGCAGAGGAAAAAGGCCACTAAAAGCTGGGAATCTTAGGTAAAAATCTCTTTCCCATGAAATCAACAAAACACTTGCTTGAGTTTGGGAACTGGAGATTCCCCTCTCTGACAGGGATCAAGGAGTAATCTACAAGGGAGTCAAGACACTCAGTCGAAGGTTTTAGAGCAGGTCTCGCAAAAGAGTAAATTGAAAACTCAACTATCTATCCTGCCTGCTAAAGATCAGCTACCAAAGGTTATGAATGGTCTTTTCTTTCTATAGCCCCTGACTCCCTAATTCAGACTCTCTTATCTGAAGATAAGGACCTACATCTCCAGAAAGTCACACAGACTAAATGTGTAGCCAGACTATTTCAAGGATCTACATACAGAGAAACAGAAGCTTTGCTAGTGGGTTTCAGAGAATAAACAATTTTCTTTTCCTTCCCATTCCCAATAATTGTGGAGAGAAGGTCCTATACCTTGGCAAAAGTGGACCCTTTCCCCTCAGTCTGGATGGTGATGGTATGGGTTCTCCTCTGCAGAATCTGGTCTATGTCTTCTTCACAGAACTTGGAGCCTTCATCTTCTTCGTCCATTAAGGCTCCATAAGCACCTTTCCGAAGCAAATCCTCCACCTCCATTTTTGAGAGCTGCTGTACCTGGACAGGTCACCAAAGGCTACTCACAAAGTGGAAAATGTACAGGAGAAAAACAGCCTCAAATCTGGCCTTTGTGATTCAGCACACCGTTCCTCCACTAACTACACATGTTATAAGAACAAAGGACACGGGCAAAAAACTTCAGAAAATGAAAACCCGGATAATGTACTCTGGGGAGGCAGACAGCAATCCTCTATAGTGAGCTTTGGAATAAAGCCCAGCACATGATCTAATGGCCCTAACATTCTTCAGGACATTGGTTATTATCAAATGTCACAAGCTATTAAAATTATGTACCAATGAAGAGGATATTTTTGACATTTTAATATTTTAGTTTGAGCTTGTAGCTTAAAAACTTCCAGTTACACCAAATGAGTTGAAGAATAATGATTTATTCATTATTAAATAAATGCATACATTAGTATTAGAAATGATGTCATTTTTTCACTAAAAAAAAAGATCCCATGCTAAATGTGATCTTTTCAACTCTTGATGAAAACAGGAAATGGGGTTCAAAACACCCTTTCCTGGTTCTAATTAAGAATCTGGTTCTCTTTATATCAACTGCAAGAGGGAATCCCATGACTCCCAGCACAAGTAACTTGAAGTATTATACTTAGCAACATATGCATAGTTAAGAGGACACAGAACATCTGGACTAAAGACAACTAACTCATTTAGAAGGTTTTAATTCCCAATCTTTGATGCCCTGGACCCAGAGATTAAGGAGATATTCTGTTTTGTTTGCCTATAAGTTAAGAATCTTAGCTGCAGTTTTCATGCCCCCAGAGGGAGAAATATTTTAACTGCCACATTTCAATCTACTAATTTATTCATTCACTTATTCACTGACCGTCAAGCACTGAATGTCTTTAATAAGCTGAGCGCTGTTAGGAGCCTTGGGGACACAGATACAATTGGTCCGGTTATATTCTTCAGGCTCAAAGTCTGGAGTATGAGAGGCTTGGTAACACATGCAGCTTAGGATCTACTAGCTTTTCATGGGCAAGATTAAAAATTCTGTTTACTGAAATGTTATACCACGCTGGGCAATCCTACCAAATAACTGCTCCTATGGATTTTCTTTATCCATCTAGAAGATGCAGAGACCTGACCCTTAATCATCCTTGACCGCAGGAAATTATCCAACAAAGATGTGTGGGCTGACTCAATATAGTGAAACAGCTATGAGAGGCCCAGGCTGTTTGACAAATGCTGTATAAGGCTCCAGAACAGTCCCAAAAAACTCACCCCATTGGTGCCGCCCTTTCGGTTGATGTCCTGAAGAACAGCCTTGTCCAGCCCCAGCTTTAAGCTGGCTTTGTCAAACATCTCTCGCTCGTAGGAGTTTCGAGTGATGAGGCGATACACTTTCACAGCTTTGCTCTGGCCTATGCGGTGACATCGGGCCTGAGCCTGGAAAGACGGAAGATCACACACATCATGTCACTATATATAATGGCAGCAGCCCTGGGAATAGGGAAGTGTTTAAATATCATGTGCTGTGAATGGCCAGTTTTCAGCTATTAGTCATGGGACTGATTTCAGAAGAGAACTCACCGAAATATTAGCTGACATCTTTGGGATCATTCATTTCTTCCCCTGTTTACTGACTACCGTGTACCAGGGTAAAAGCAGAGAGAAGGACGTGGTGTCCCACCCTCCACAGCTGTGGTCCGTGCACAGGCAACCTGTAAAGTGGCACTAATTCTCAAGACACTGTCCTGCTCTCTTGGAAAATATCTCAGAGCTGGTAAGACCATTTTTTAAAAATTTTACCACACAAACTTTCAATCATAGACAAAAATAGAGAAAAGCATAATGGCCTCTTATGGACAATCTTGTTTATTTCTATCACACCCCTATCCTACAAGACTTAAGAAATAAATCTTAGGCATCATACTGTTTCACCCTGTAAGACAATCATATCATTACCATTGCAACACTTTAAAAAATTAATTATTAGTTCCAACTATCGAGTCAATGTTCCAATTTCCCTGCTTATCTCAGAATTAAGTATGCTTGTTTGGATGAAGAGCCAAATAAGGCCCATGCATTGCAATCAGTTGATGTTTCAAGCCTCTTTTACTCTATAAATACTCCCTGCCTTCAATCTTTTTTCAAATGCAATTTATTTGTTAGAGACCAGGTATCTGTCCTATAGTTTCCGAGTCTACATTTTGCCAACTATATTCCTGCTGTGTCATTGAACAGGTATGTCTATTCCCTGTTATCTTCCCTAAATGGGAAGTTATATATCGAGACTCAATCATGTTAAGATTTAATTTTTGGAAAGAATATTTCAAAAATTAGTATTTGAGTGTACTTCAAGAGGCAATACAGTATCTGGTTGTCTTTCTTCTGAATTGATGATCATTGTCTATTCCATTACTTCATTAGGAATTACAGTTTCTCTCATCAATTTTTTGGTTACTCTGGTATACAGTTCATACAGAAAAGGCAAGCTAAATGTTTGATTCTTTCTCTTTATTTAATCAGTTTCCAAATGAAGACTTTTATTATTAGTTTAAGGAACACAATGGAAACATGCATTTAAATAGATGTGCCACGTTTCACTGCACTGCAGTTATTATTCTCATTGCTGTTCACATTTGGCTCATGGGAGCCTCTTCATGTTGGCTCTCGAGTTCTTTCAACATGATGCAGTCAAACATGGAAAGGAAGCATAGAGTAAACTCTGTGGTGTTAGAACGGACTTCAAGGTATTGGTATGAACTCACATTTAGGTGTGCATGTGTGTATACACACATACATGTATAGATGGATACAGAATTAGATAAGAATATATGTGCACTTATGTTTGTCTGTTGTATCAAACATCAGCATTCTTTTGATAGCTCCTTTGTCTTCAACATGAGCTACACTCCTCTTGCATATTTCCTGTCCAGACCTGGATTCAGGTATTTTTTTCAAGGAGTCCTCCTTTGTTTTAGTGAGACATCATTCCCCCCACCCATCCCCTGAGTAAATAAGCAGAGGGGTAATTATTGACACAGAGAGGGAAGGATGGCCATGCCACGTGTGAAAGACCTGTAGGTACCACTGACACCTGTGGTCCTTCCTTGTGTTGGACATAGGTGACCCAGAGAGGTGAGGGATTTGGCTCCTTGGTGAGTTAGTAGTAGAATAGGACTGGAGCCTCAAACTCCTGTGCCTGCCCCATAGTCTTGATTCTGAAGTCCAGAATAGCAAGCATTAGGACTCCTGGTTCTAAGGCTAGGCTGTGTGAGTGTGGGTCTGAAGGCACTGGGCCCAGTGCAAGGTAGGGGGTGAGTCCAAGCTAGGGATTCTAAGTTTGCCCACTAGGAACTCATCTGGAGTTCCCAGACATAAAAGCCCCCATCCTTACCCTTCCCATATCCTTTACCGAACTACACGGCTGAAAACCACACTAGAATTTCTATAATTCAGTGATAACTAAAGTGGTCCAAAGACTAAGAAGTCCACTAAGTACTGGGGCAGAGGAAAGACCACCTGAGAAGGGGATATAGGAAATGGCCATCACAGCAGGGCACAGAGGAAGACAAACCCCAGGTTGAGCAGGAGTTCTCTGGCCTGGGCCCAGATACTGCCTGCCACTTGGCCCACTAAGAAAGCTTGGAGCCAGGCGTGGTGGCTCACCCCTGTAATCCCAGCACTTTGGGAGGCAGAGGCGAGAGGATTACCTGAGTCCAGAAGTTTGAGACCAGTCTGGTCAACTTGGCGAGACTTCGTCTCTACAATAAATCAAAAAATTAGCTGGGCATGGTAGAACACACCTGTGGTACTAGACACTTGGAAGGCTGAGGTGGAAGGCTAGCAGGTTGAGGCTGCGGTTGTATGCCACTGCACTCCAGATTAGGCAACGCAATAAGTATTACTCAAAAAAACAAACAAACAAAAAAAGCCTGGAGTTCATTTTGGTGCCCCAAATTTGCATATCCTAATTTACTAAGTTGCTCATGGGGTGGGAGGGAAGGAGAACTTGTTCTCTGCTTTTTCTCATACTCAACAATGGTGGTCACTTCCTAGAAGACAGAGACCCTGTTGAGGAATATCACGTGGGCTGGCTGGCAGGAGCTTATGTGTGGGTCACCAAGCACTGGCAGCAGCACAAACCCTAAGCTCTCTGTGTACAGAAGGGCCATCAGCAGGACCAGAGCAGAGGTCTTCATGGCATGGGAAAAGCTCATTTTTCCTCTCTGACGAGGCTGCAGGGCAAGTGGCTAAGAAATAACCCAGCCACAGGCAGGAGTAGGAAAATTATATTTAGGAGCAACAATCTGGATGCTCTAGGTGTGTTCACTGCTACTAGGTTGGTCATGGTTTCCAGGCCTTTTCAGTGGGCAAGTATAGGAAATGCCCGTGTGTGTATAGTGTATAAAGTCATGTACATATAGAAGATAAAATACATCATGAGGTCATACTAATATTTCTAATTCAAATTATGACTGTGGGATTTTAACTTCATCAAACTCAAACCTCTATTTCTTTAACCATGTTGAAAAACTTAATTCTTAACCACACCAATATCTTTACTCATTTGATTTGTGCCATAATATAGTATTCTCAGAAAAACAATACCATTACAATTCACTTATAACATAATTACAAAAAACAATGTAAGATTTTTGTTTTCTCCTACTATTTAAGAGTTATATCCCACTATGTACATTTGTATTACAGTGTTTTAAATATACACTTGAAAATAGATTTTTTTTCCTGCAGTTGCAGGGCTAACTATTCTAAAATTACTTTCTGTTTAATCTAGAATTGAGCGAATGTGTAAGTATACTGAGGTAGCAGGAGTAAGAGTTTCCACTGTTGGAGAAGGAAGTTATAATTATGGAAGAGGGGGAAGCTAGAATAAACTTTCTAGTATACATACATAGAAATAGATATGGGTATACATGCTTATATGTTTATGTATATACATATGAATGTATATATTTATAGATATATTCATATTTATAGTCTGTGTGTGTGTGTGTGTGTGTGCGTGTGTGTGTATTCTAATGGTGCCCAATGAGAAGGCCTAGAAGCAATTTCATCCCAGTAGCAATAAACATACCTGTCTCCTGGATCTTGACTTCTGAATACCATTCTCTCTAAGACAGAACCAAGGATGTGTGTTAGAGAAATGGCTAACTGTAGGTAGGGCTGGGATGGAGAAAGTACAGAATGAGCCTGAAAAATATTTTTGCACAGATATAAGGAAGTATTCAAAGAATGATAGAGAAATATCAGAATACTGCTTATAGCTCTATTTAGGACTATATGAACATAAAAAGAAAGATTATAACCCACTGAATAAAAAAGAACCCATGAGTCCATGACATAAATAAATGGGAGAAAAAGGGAAAACCCTTCTTTATAGTAGAATGCTAACTAACAAATGCAGAGTTGACAGTTAGAAAGAGTAGACAGAGTTAGAAAAGAGTAGACAGTAGACAGAGTTAGAAAAGAATAGACAGTAGACACAGAAAATCACCACTTTGTAACCATCATTCTGATACCTGATTCAGGCATAAATAATCCATGAAAGCTAAAACCAGTGGCAAAACTTTGATACGGAAAAAGTACAGTCTCAATGTATTTCTCCAAAATCACTTATTAGTTTAGAAGCGAAAAATAAAACTTGCCGTGGAGAAATCCGACAAATACTTCATTTAAGTGAAACTTTTAGTATGGAAATCTGACAGAAAGCACTTAACTAAGTGATCAAAGTTGCCATCATCAGACATATGGGCATCATATTACTCTAATGTGCTATACTGAGAAGGATGAATCAATTCTCTAGTAGTACTTATGAAACCTAAATCCAATCCTGAGGAAATACAGACAAATCCAAATTGTGGGATAATCTACAAAACAACTGGACGGCACTTTTCAATGACTTAAGGTCATGAAAGAAAAAGAAATATCAGGGAACTGATCCAGATTAAAGGAGACTAAGAGACATGACAAATGTAATGGGTGATTCTGGACTGGATCCTGAACGGGGGAAATGGTACCTATGAAAGGTGTTGAAAGAAATGATTAAACTTGAATATGGACTGTGGATTGGAGAACAATATTTTTATTTCCTGATTCTGGGAAATGAACTGTGGTTATACAAGAGAAAGTCCTTGCTTGCACTCGGGAAACACACACTAAAGTATATAGGAGACAAATGCAACTTACTCTCAAATGGTTCAGATAAAAAATGGTATGTGTGTGTGTGTCTATGTATGTACTGAGAAGAAAGAGAGAACAAAAAAGAGGGTAAAAAAGGGTACAAATGATAAAGTGAAATAAGGCAAAATGTAAACACAGTTTGGAAAAAGGGTATAGTAGAGTTGCAAAATTTAATCACATCAAAAAAAAAGGTACAAAAATATTAACTACAGACTCTTGAAATAATCCCTTTCTGGGAG